TCTATCTATTAAATCTATATCTCTCTCTATTTATCCCCCCCCCCCTCCCAGGAGTTCCCACCTCCGCTCCCTGTCCAGGAGCAGTCCCTCGGCCCAGTCCGCCTCCCCTCTGATGACGTCAGGTCTGGTGCCAGCCAATCGCATCATCTTGCCCGATCACATGACTACCCAACGAGTGGACGACAAGACTCGGTTAGCAGCCCGTCAGCATAACAGTCAGATGGTAGGACATTCCTCCCGGCTCTCTCTCCATTGGTCATTCTCTTTTTGATTCTCGTTATAGGTTTGATTTTGATTTTGATTGTATTTTTCTGATTTAAATGTACAGGGACATAGGCCTAGTCCGAGGCAAGGGTGGAGGTGTGATGGTCTAGTCACAGACCAAATAAGTCCAGCAGTTTAAATATCTAGGATATATGATAACTTCTGATGCCAAATGTTCCACAGAAATAAAACGGAGAATTACAATGGCTAAGGCTAGTTTCAATCAAATGAACACAATCCTGAAAAATAGAAACATCTCACTGACCACCAAAATGAAACTTCTGAAATGCTATGTATGGTCAACCCTTATATGGCTGTGAATGCTGGACAATCACTAAAGACAGTGAAAATAAAATAGAAGCAACAGAAAAGTGGTTTCTAAGGAGACTGCTAAGAGTATCGTGGAACGAAAAGAAGTCAAATGAGGTAGTGCTTGATGAAGCTCACGTGGGACGCTCAATGTTAAAAACAATCAGGAAATCGTCGGTCGCCTGTTAAAACCATGAATTCCACAAATTTTCGAAAATCGTTTTTTTGGGGGGGGTTTTTGTGTGCATATTTTGATAGTGCTCGGTGAGATACATGTCCCTGTAAAACGATTTTTCAATTATCTCAACTCAAACGTGTAATCTGATGTAATAAGAAAATCGTGAATAAACACCGTGCCCAAAAAGTGGCCTGATGAAACCGTGAATCCCACACCTGTGTGGAATTCACGATCTCATCAGTCGGTTTATGACTCGCGGGGCTGACCGTTGGCGCCGTGAACGCCTCTTTAGACCATTGAAATATGAGCGACTGCGTTGAGCAAACACAATGGTCGGTCAGTATTCACGGTTTCCAGGCCAAAGATTATAATGTATGACGTCGACTGCATGTGTTTTGCGGGAAAACCTCTGTCACATAATTAAAATGTGTATTTCCTAGATGCAAGACTGGAATTGTTTCACAACGACTGTCACATTGTGTAATGTGTGTGCCCTTCTAGTAGTGGGTAAAACAATTGTTTATCTTGCTCGTTTGCAATTTTTTTTAAATAACGTAGTCAAGTATAAATTACTAGTATATTTCCGTGTTGTATCACAATCCAAACTTGTTTGACATTGAAAGCTCTTTGATTTGACATCAGAGTTCCCTAACGAGAAAAGGAATTTTGAGAAGCCGAGCAATGTGAACCATTTTGGGCATCAAAGAAAGCTACAGAAAATACAGCACGGAAATAGTAGTAGAACCAGACTTCAATGAAGAAAAAGTATCATTCCAAGTACACGATGCGTTGGAACAGATCAAATGTACTTTTTTACCCTCCGAGAGAGTAAGAGAATAAGAGAGGAAGAGAGAGAGAGAGAGAGAGAGAGAGAGAGAGAGAGAGAGAGAGAGAGAGAGAGAGAGAGAGAGAGAGAGAGAGGGGGGGGGGTGCCAGCAATAAGCATTACAAATCAAGAGATAGGACGATTTTAAAAAACTAATGAACTGAAACGAAGATGTGATTGCTCAACCAAATCAATGGACTACTCACTGTTAAAAGACAACGCCTGAACAACTATCTTTGTCTTTGTTTGGACGTTGACATGGGGAGTGTTTGTGCGCGTGTATACCGTTTGGCTCAACATGTACACCACCAAGAAGAACAGACTCGACTTGCACGTTTGCCGGCTGAGAAGGGAATGACCCACTGGCTCACCAGCCCTTTAATCTCGTGCTGAACTCAGTGGTTACAAAAACATTCATCGGAAATGGTACGAAACACGAACAATGTACACATATCAACATCCACCCTTCTTTAGCAAGATGCTTTATGTGCATTCCTTAAACGTAACATTTCAACATCTTATTAGTCAATTAGTTCAAAACCCTTTATAAGAAATATTCTTTATTACCAAGTTTAATTATAAGTAATTCTACTACTAATATCATTTGAGCGTTACCGACACAAAATAGAAAGCATAATATATATCTGACGAATCCCATTCCCAAGAAATTACTACTGATTTTACATAACTGTAAATCTTTTAAATCAAACTGCGATTTTCCACATTGTATCCGATGTATACTAAAAGGTGATAGTCCATTTACATTTATATTCTAATAACACAAATCAAAACTTTCTGTTAATTGTCTTGTCAAAATCCTTTTCGATAACTTCTTCGGGTCTGGTCGTCTGCTCGTCAGTTCTCAGCGGTGATGAGAATGGAAAATTGTCTTTTAAAGAGTATGACTGATTTCTAAACAGAACTCTACTGTTCTGATGGGTGACTGGTGTCTGTGCATATGTGACTAAATGTTCAATTGTGTAGACAATATGTACTGCTTTGTTTTGATGTTGTTGTAGACCGCATGTTGCACACTAACACACTTGTCCGTATCACAATCTTAAAAACAGGCCATAGATATATTCAAATGGTGCAATCGATGATCTCAACTTCATGTGTCTTTTGTGTTGGGTTTGACAATGCGTCCACTTCTGGTTATGTAGTGTTTGTTTTGTGCTTTGTTATGACTTGGACAGGGAGTCAGGTTTGACTTCAAGCTTGTGGGCCATGAAGTCGTTGGTTGTTGACTTGTAGATTCAACGGGAACAACAGTCGGACTGCATCTGCTCGACCCGTCAGGAGCTGACACTTCTTGATCAGGCCGATCAACGGTGGTGTTGGGTCGTCTTTGCAAACTGTGGTCTTTTACTGCAGGACTTTCTGCTGGGGTCAACATGACGTTGTCGTCAGGCCCATCCTTCCTTTCGTGGAAAGGTGTTGATTTTGGTCTCAAATGCACCCTATTCCAAACGTAGGTGCCGCCAGTTTCTCCTTCTATTCTATAAGATCTGTTGTTGAGCTTTTCTTTAATTCTGCCTGCGTTCCAACCGGGTTTATCAGGGTTTTGGTAATAAATAGTTTGACGCTTTTGCAGAGGATTCATATCTCTGGCCTTTCTGTCAAATTGTCTCTTGACTTTCATCTTGGGAGCTAATAATCTTTTCATGTCATTTTCTGGAACATAATTTTCTTTTCTCATTTGAGGCAAGAGCGTTCGTATTTCTCTCTGAAACATCATCTGCGTTGGAGTCGTCCCATCTTGTCTTGGGGTGTTTCTAAGTTCTAACAGTGCTTCGTATTGATCTTCGTGATTCTGCACAAAGCGTTTCACCATTGTTTTTATTATTTTTACCGCCGATTCAGCTTTTCCATTGGCTTGGTGATGGCCTGGAGATGATCGAACATGAGTGATACCCCAGTGTTGTGTGAACTGTTGGAACGTTGAAGCGGTATACTGTGACCCACAGTCAGTGACAAGCATTTTTGGCACTCCATATCTAGCAAACTGTGACTTCATTTTGGTAATTACTGTTCCAGATGTCGATGTTGGCAAATAGTCGACCTCAATGAAATTGAAAAAATAGTCTACCAGAATAAGGTACTGTCTACCTTTTATTTCAAAAATGTCCGATCCAAGCTTTTCCCATGGTGCTCGTCCAATACTGTGTTGTACCAGTGTTTCTCTCTGGTTTCTTGGCTTGCTGTGCTGACAAACTTCACACCTGTCAGCCATTTGTTTTATTTCAGCGGTCATGCCTGGCCAAAAAACAGTCCGCCTCGCCCTCCTCAGCATACTCTCTGTTGCTAGGTGAGCTGCATGTAGTCTTCTCTTTATCTCCTCTCTCATTGACCTTGGTACGAGGACTTTTTCTCCTCTTGTAATCAGCCCATTCTCAATACTCATAGTTTCCCTGTAGTCAAAAAATGGTCTGGTTGACGGTGGTAGTTCAGATTTGCTGTCTGGCCACCCAGTTCTGATTGTTTCTGCCAGGGTTTGCATGTCCTCATCTTTTGACGTTTCTATCCTCAGTTTCTCTATCATTGCATCTGGTATGTTGCTCTTTGCTTGAACTTCCGTCTCGTTCTCTGATGAAATGATATTGCTGACGACTGCTCGCGATAACGTATCTGCAATTAGTAGTGAGCTTCCTCTCGCCCATGTCAAATCAAAATCATAGCGGTTGCTTCTCATAATGAGTCGTTGAAGTCGCTTCGGAGCTTCACTCAATGGCTTCCTTATTATTGTTTCCAGGGGCTTGTGATCTGTTGTCACATGAACTTTCCGCCCAAAGGTGTATTGGTCGAATCTCTCAAGACCAAATACGACGGCTATCATCTCTTTCTCTATCTGTGCCCATCTTTGCTCGGTTTCTGAAAGCGTTCTGGAAGCAAATTCAATCGGCTGGCCCTCCTGCATCAGGCATGCGCCTAAACCGTCTTTGCTGCTGTCCACTTGCACCTCTAAAGGCTTGTTTGGATCATAAAATCGTAAGACTGGTGTCGTCGCTATCATTTCTTTGATTTCGGAGAAAGCTGTCTGACATTCTTTGGACCAGACGAATGGTGTGTCTTTTCTTGTCAGATCTCTGAGAGGCTGTAATCTGTCTGAGAGCTTTTCGAGGAATTTGGCTAGGTATTGAACCAGTCCACAAAATCTTCTCACGTCGTGAACATCTTTTGGGGTTGGCATCTTTATGATGGCTTCTACTTTGCGAGCATCAGGTTCTATTCCTCTTTTGTCTATCTTGTGACCCATAAATCTAACTTCTTCCTGTCTTTCTCTGGCTTTTTCTTGGTTGAGTTTGATGCATTTTTCTTTACATCTTTCCTTGAGAAGGTCATATTTCCTATCATGGTCTTTCTGTGCTTTCTCTTTTGTGAGGCCGTTTCCGATCACGAGGATGTCATCCGCGACATTCACTATGCCGGGTAGGTCTTCAAGTGCGGTTGCAAGGTGTCTCTGGAAAATTTCGCTGGACACGTTCAGTCCAAATGGTAGTCTTGTCCATCTCACTCGACCAAATGGTGTGATCATCGTGGTGAGCTTGCTCGACTCTTCATCCAGTTTGATGTGCCAAAATGCTTCCTTTACATCCAACTTCGTGAACATCTTGGTGTCTCTAAATTTTGGTAAGACATCATCCAACGTAGGGAGTTTATAGTGTTCCCTTTTAAGAGCTTTATTCAAAGGACGGGGATCAATGCATATGCGTAGAGATCCATTTTCTTTCTCCACGATGGCCATTTGACTCACCCAATCTGTCGGTTCTGTCATGGGTACCAAGATTCCTCTTTGTATGAGAGAGTCCAACTCTTCTTTGACCTTTTTTTCTAGGGCAAATTGTATCTTCCTGCAAGGCAGAACTTGTGGTCTTATCTCCGGGTCTGTCTTCAGATTCGCTGTTCCCAGATGACCTGGTTCCTCTTCTACCTTTGTGATGAACTTGTCATGATTGATGGTGACTAATCCCAAATCTTGACATGTCGTTAAACCAAGTAGACAGTTTAGATTGTTTTTGACAACTGTAAATTTCACTGTGAGCGTCTGTCCTGTCTTCTCATTGGTAACTAACAATCTTGTTTCTCCTAAAGGTGCCGTCTTAGTGCCGTTCCACATGACGAGTGTATGACTGGTTCTTGTTACTTGATTTTTACTAACAAATCTCTGTTGTATTGTATTGACGTCTGCGGCCGTATCTAGCTGGAATCTGACCTTGCAGTCGTTAATTTTCAAACATGCTGTAGCCCTTCTTGTTCCGTCGCCGACAGCATTTATCCATGCTTCGTCATCTGTTTCTACAAGTGAGTGTATTTTCTTGCATTTTATCCTAAAGTGGTTTCTTCCTCCACAATTGCTACAGGTTTTCCCCCAGGCTGGGCATTTGGCTTTGTTGAGCTCATGGCGTTTCCCGCAGAATCTGCATTCAGCATCTTTGCTGGTCGTACTCGTGGTAGGTCTTCCATCCTTCTTTCTTGATGGTCCTCCACTAAGTTTAAATGATTGCTTCTTGCCCTTGTAGACCTTATCAATTTTCTGTTCACCTTTCATTTCTCTCAGGTAGTTTGCAGTCTGCTCGTATGCCTGGCAAATGTCGATTGTCTTCTTTAAAGTGATATCAGGTTCTCTCAACAACTTTTCCTTGAGATGTTGAGGAACACTGAAAATAATTTTGTCTTTGATCATCTTGTCTTTCTCTTGAAAGTTGCATTTCTCAGCCTGAGCCTTCAATTCAGTTGAAAACTTGTCGAAAGGCGTTGACATAGGCAAGTTCCAAAATCTATATCTTTGCAGAACCTCGTTACTTCTTGGGTTGCAATACTGCTGCAATTTAAGTAGTACTTGTTGCGGGTCATCCTTGTCTTCAGGATTATCAAATTCAAACTGATCAAAAACTTCTCGGGCTTCTGGGCCTGCACAGTGCAGAATTATGGCTGTCTGGGTTTTAGCTGGCTTGCTGGTGTTCCCAGAGGCTTCCATATAAACATCTAGCTGTCTCTTCCATTTTCTAAAATGATCTGCTAAATTATCCTCACTCATTTGGAGTGGTGAGGGAAGGCGAAATTTAGCCTCTGCCATGTTCGTCAGGTTGCAGATAAATCGGGCAGAAATTAACACTATCTGGGTCGTCGTCTGCTCAGTGCAAAATAATTGTTGCAAGGAAAAATATACTTGACTTACAGTTTTGTTATTTTCTACAAACACTTTTTTCCTTGGCTAGCCTCATGGCCAAACTTCTGTTCAGATCCGATCTCTAGAATCTAAATAGAATATAGGCTTCGTAGAATATATATATAACACCTGAATTTTCAAGACATGTTCATACAAGATATAGAAATATGTATGGAAACACCAGACATTTTCAAGACTAGAGTCTCACTTTTATGAAACTTTTACCGCTGCCAGCATGTTTGTGAGCGTGTATACCGTTTGGCTCAACATGTACACCACCAAGAAGAACAGACTCGACTTGCACGTTTGCCGGCTGAGTAGGGAATGACCCACTGGCTCACCAGTCCTTTAATCTCGTGCTGAACTCAGTGGTTACAAAAACATTCATCGGAAATGGTACGAAACACGAACAATGTACACATATCAACAGGGAGACAGAAAGTCCTATATAAACGGTATTCTCAACACGAAAGAGTACAATTTAAGCAAAGGCGATACACCAAGCTGAAAGATGCACACTTGGGTTTATTATCTGAAACAGAATGACCAGAAGATCAAAGTTTGCAGGATGTTGATATCTATGACCGGGCTCACCCATTGTGAACTGCTCTAGAAGTGCTCATGCCAGTGTCATCATCGCCTGGCTCACCCCGTACGGACAAACACTTTCCACTATTCCCTGCCCAGGGCTAACTTCTTCATATTTTTCAAACGTCTTTCCACTTTTCTGTTCATCATTCTCTGCGACATTTCTACAGGTTCCACGTGGTCTTCCCTTGATCGTTTAAGTTGCTGACTCCAAATTAAAACTTTTTTGTTATGTAGCTGCCTGATTTCCAAATTATGGTGTGCTCAGTCCAATCCATCTCCACTGCTTTCTTCTGTCTGAAAATTTTCTGGTCCTTACTTCCTCATTGATGACTCTGTCTGTCCATCTGATCCTGAGGAACTTCCTCAGATACTTGTTAATGACAACCTGGATCCTCCAGAACTTTGTAAAGAGTACTTCAGAAGAGCGCAGCCCAGTTGCACCACCAAACAATCCACAAGGGACGTGCAAGCCAAGGAGTTTCTGTTAACATCTGTGGACATGCTTCTGAAGGTTCCCACTCACTATTGCTAGCAAAGCTCTGGAAAACTGTATCTTGATCCCTGATTCTGTAATCTGTTGGATCTTGAAACCACCTGCACTGGTCAGGGACAATCTGCCTTGCATGTCAGGCTACTCAAATATGTGCTAGATGAAAAGAACATGTTGATCTTTGAGTCAAAAAAAGATCAATGTGAATTGTATGTGAGTTTTGAGTCTTGACAGCGTCAGCCAGACTAAGTGGGAATCTCACATGTCAGAAAAGAACATGACAAAGAAAGGGCACGCAATGGATAAAACCTTTGCTCTTGGAAAAGAAGACCTTGTGATGTTTTGCATGAATCTTCGGTGTGTACTTTTGTCACTGTCTATCAATTCCTCCAGCTCTTGTTACAGAAACATGAACATAATCTTCAATGCGACCTCGTGTGGTGCCATCTATTACTTATGACAAAAGGCACAAGATGATTTGATTGCAAATGAATTCACAAGTTGTTTGATGGACTTTTTTTTATAACGTCCACACATGCGTAGAGGGTTATAATAATATATTATTATACAGCTACGGGTGTGTGTGTGTGTGTGTGTATGTGTATTGTGTGTGTGTGTGTGTGTATGTGTGTGTGTGTGTGTGTGGGGGGGTGTGGGTGCGAATGAGTGTGTGTGTATCAGCACAAAATTACATCTATTTCTAATGCCGTGGGTGCCTTTTCCACTAAAGCAAACACCGAAATTAAATACAAAATCTTATTAGAGGCCACACTCAGGCAAGTAGAAAGTATGAACGGCGTCATTGAGCAGCGGCTTTAAATAAAAGACGTTTTCAGAACTGCAATTTTTATAATTATATCAACGAAGACCCTATAAAGTGAAATTTGTGGATCACATTTTCCTCCATGGTTTTGCCAAAATTGCAGTTTACAAAACTGTCAGGTCGGGTTGACAAAAAGAAGACGAAACTGTTAATGCAGTATGAAGCCTCTGATATACATAAGGAGAAATTCTTTGCAGACTGAATTCTAACGAAGAGTGGGAGAGTCTTCTAAAGTCCAGAGACAAGAAAAACTTAACAAACAGTTCCCCACCACTGTATCATTCTACTTATAAACGGCAAAAGTAATTTTAGGGATCTGGGAGACAAAAAAGTAAGATAATGAAAGATGATCATTCAGTCTTTCAGGGGGTATAGAATTTTGACATAAACCAAATTCTGAACCCATCCACCACCCCAAAGGAAATACACTTACATACAATTGGAGAAAGAAGGATAGGAAGATAGAAAGAACGCAAATGAAGGAGTATGATCTCATAGATTACATACAATATCCCATTCATGTAAGAGTGAGAGATGTTTATAGTGCCTAATAACCGTGAATACAACAACGCGTTCCCAAAAGCCTACTGATGAAATTGTGAATTCCACAACGACCGCATCAGGCGAGATTCGAATATGAAAATCGTGAATAACACACTTTTTCGAAAAAATGACCATCTACGGTAAAAAATGTACAACAGTATTATTTCTAAAAGGTAATTTATTAGATGTATCAATTTAGTTTATTTCTTGTACGCCAAATGACGGAGAAAATCAGTTTTCCCTCTCCTGTAAAATTTGCTTCGTGTGGAACTCACGATTTCATCAGGCGACCGACGAAATGACAACTGTAGTTTTTGGGACCCCTAAATAGATAAAAGGGTCTTGAACATCTGGCTCTCACTGGCAAAAATAAAGGCAAACGAGGCAGGGGTTGGCACAGAGCAACCTACTTAGAGAACTTAAACGAATGGGTAGCGGGGAAAGATCAGGGAAACGCAGCTTTTTTAAGAGCGTCCCAGCAAAGGAATGAATGGAGAACCATGATCGCCGATGTCTGTCGCAGGTATGGCACTGGTTGAGGATTCTGATTTTAATTTTGAGTCGGATTCTGTTTTCGGTTTTGATTTTGATTTTGATTCTGATTTTGCGTAATTGCACACTCTGTCGTTATTTTATCCTTTGCTCTGGGCCGTTTGCCTATTCTGTGGCATGTGTGTGTGAATTTGGTTTGGGTTTATAAGTGTTAAAACGCTGTATTAGGGGGGAGGGAGGTGGGAGGGAGGGAGGGGTTCCTTTTACCCCTGATATTATTAGTAGTTTTATTTATTTTTATAGTAGAGTTTTTACGGCGCTAGCGACTGCATAACGTCCTATGAGCGCCAAGGGGTGGATGTCAACAGAGAAGTCCTTACAGGGAATCAGGCTTACTCTGCCACCTCTCTAGCTTTAACAGCACAAGGTCTGCTTCGACTATCAAAGCACCCCGGAAATAGCAGTTCACAAGAGAGCGACAAACGTACAAAAGATATAGAGGAAAATTATGACGATAGTAAGGATGAGGACAGAAAAAGCAGCAGTTCCCACTATGTTGTTCCGGCACAGTATGAGCATGACATTGATAAATCAGCCCATTTACAATTCTACTGTGCATAAGAACATGTTAATATCCCCCCTTTGGGAATGGCCTAAAGACACTTCAGTCAGTAGCACCGCCCCGGGAGTATTATTAGTATTATTATCATTATTATTATTAATATTATTGTTATTATTATTATTATTATTATTATTATTATTATTATTATCAATTTCACTATTTCTTATCTTTCAAACGAATGGTTAGTGGGTGGTTGAGGGTGCTATGGTGTGGTTGGCTCCTTCTTCCCTATCTTCTTTGTGGCGTCGGTGGCCTAGTGGTTAGGCTCTCGGACTCGGAACCGTAAGGTCGTGGGTTCGAATCCCGTCAGGGGCCCGACGTTATGTCCTTGGGAAAGGCACTTTACACGAATTTTCCTCACTTCACCCAAGTGGGAATGGGTACCCGGCTATAGACAGCGAAAGATCTTGTCAGTTTGTTAGTGTTTGAGCGCTTAATCGGCTGCTCGCACTGTATGCTTCCCGGGAAGCTGAGAATGTTTCGGAGTGTTTTATGGTCTGCTGGGGTAATAATATAGTGTAAAGCGCATAGAGCCTGCTGTTGAGCGGGAATATGCGCTATACAAATGCTATCTATTATTATTATGATCAAACATCTATCTATCGTCCTTTCTACTGGGACGTTTCTCCTCACTCCTGATTGGCCCTGACGGCCAGAGTGGGAAGCCCACCTCCTAAATGAACTAAATTATGCTGATAGTTACAGTTTTTAAAAGTTTGTTTTTGTTTGTTTTTGTTTTTCTCCCCCAGATTCGCAGCATGCACCCTATCTCCAGCCAAGCCAACTCCTTCCACTGGGAATAGGCCGTGACATCACCACTCTGTGGGCGCCATCTTTGCATGGATGTGACGTCACCATCACTTGGCGCGGAGCAAGCCTCACTCACTGCGTTTAGTGGCAGCAGACACCGATCTCAGCCAACTGTCTCCTGCACTGTGCCTTGAATCAACGTTTGTCAGTCAAATGTATACAAAAATGTGTCGCTTTTATGGACTAGCGGGCTAACCCAGATTTCGGGGGTTTCCCGAAATGTTGACTTACACACCAAAAGTAGGCATTGCCCTACCTATAGGAGATGTTTGGTTTCATTGGTGTGTACATTTGTTTGGTTATAAAGAAAACTCTCCTTGTCTTTTAAAGAAACTGAACTAACGACTAAAACTCTACCTTTGATTTTCTCAAAACAGCATTTTTTGGGATAGCCCCCTTGTGCTTAAAAGCGACCAAATGTGTCTGTGAATTGACATAAAATGCGTTGAGCCAAAAACAAATTGATAAGAAATGCCCAACTCGTAAGAACATGTCGGTTTCTACAGTTTCATTTTTGAGACCGGCGCACGATCGTC